GAGTAGAGAGAGGGAGGGAGGGATGGAGGGGGAGGGGGAGAGAGAGAGAGAGAGAGAGAGAGAGAGAGAGAGAGAGAAATGAGATATTAAGGATCCTATGTTCTCACTGCAGCCATATTGAATTATAATACTAAAATCAAAAAATTATATGAGTTTTATTCTTATAAAACATATCAAAATAAATAAGTTTCTTTTAATAAGATCATTCGTGTTTGATAATATGAATTAATAAACTATACTGCAAAACTTTTTTGATTCATGAATTAATAAATATAACTCTAAATTTTGATCAATTGTCATAAGATTTATTTTCAGCAAAAATATATTGTACTAATCCATATTATCGAACACGAATGGTATTAAAAGAAACTTATTTATTTCTATGCATTTTGCAGAAATAAAACTCATAATTTCTTTCTTCTGACATCATAATTCAGTATAATATCAATAAAGAACCAGAAGTCTTAAAGAGAGCTTACACAGCAGCTTTCATGTAGCGCTAATTCCAACGCTCTCTACCGATATGTTTCTTTGCGTAGAAATCATGCCGAATAAATACAATATATTTGAAATATATAAAGTAATGATAAGAGTAAATAACCCTAAAAGTAACTTAAATATTACTTGTTATAAAAAAATGTATTAAAATTATTTGTTCTGTCTATTACAGAAAATTTCTGGAATACATTTATAACAATAATAACAATAATAATAATAGCTGTAATAATGGTAACAGCCTTACGAGTAACACATTAATTGTCAATTTTGTCGTTAACTGACCTGCATAGGAATATCTTGAGAAGTAGTAGTAGTAGTAGTAGTAGCTAAACTCAGAGCCATTGAGTTTTGAGATTGTATATACTGAGAATACTGCCAGTACCTCACTCTTGGATCTTCCCATGTTGTAGTGCGATTAAAATGATTTATAAAATATCTAGGAAACAACAATGTATCAACTATATATTTAATTTTTTACAACAAGAAAAATATTATGTATATCGATTTTCGATAAATATTTTTAGATTAGTGCCTTTATATCAAGGCAAAATCTCCTTGAACTCAAAACCAAATAAATTACTAGACAAAATATTATCTTCTTAAATGTGTGTTCTTTTATCAACAAATATATTAACAATTTATCTATCTCTTTTAGAAAATGATAATTTTAAAAATTCTGAAATATCTATGCATGCTGTATTTTGCATTGAAAAACATGGATTGTTGTATCAATATGAGATTTTGATTTTCGGATTTTTATACGAATTCTTTAATAATAAAAGAAATTATATATATATATATATATTCTATTATATATTTTACGTACGGACGACCACTACGAATGTCGTATCTGCATTCCCAACCGGGCGGTAATTGACTTCTGTCACTCTGCTCCGCCATCTTTCCTACGTGTTTTGACATATATAATTGCGGCGAGAATATTAAGTAGATTTCACTTTCCTTCCTAATGTTGGTTATGCGTCAACATTTACCCGATCTTACGCGTTTGAGTGGCGAAACAATTAATCAAATTAAACCGGACAAAGTTTATGACATGTTTAACTATTTTGATTTGACGCTCCTATAATTGGCACCAGATTAGCAATATAAGAACTTATCCACCAGTCATAAATAAATGAGACAGTATCATACGATACAGCGTATTGAAGTAAATCAAAACCGACGCATGCGCGTGCCATATGAAGCATAGATCAGATTTTTATACTATATGGACGGTATTCATAGGCCGGTATTCATAGTCAGTTCTTATTTCAAGACCGTCTTAAGCCCGAATCACACTAGCGGTTCGTGGCTGCGATTGCAATTGCCACAGCCAATCAGAAAGCACCAATTGCAAGTATGATTGGAGCGTAGCAAATCACAATCACAAACGCAATCGCAGCCGCGAGCCGCTAGTGTGATTCGGGCTTTAAGTAATGTCTTGAGATGCTTATACGGCTCTGTGATTGGTTTAGGACATCTTAAGATTATGCTTAAAGTCCGTTCTACATTGATCGCATGTCGCAAGCAAATCGACCAATCACAGTCGAATATTTGACGGAATATTCGACTGTGATTGGTCGATTTGCTTGCGACTGGCGACATGCGATCAATGTAGAACGGGCTTAAGATGCTATGCGGCCATTTCATTGGTTGAAAGCATGAAGGAAGAGTAAGGAGAGTTATCTCGATAATGAGAGAGAAAAAAAGTGGTCACGAAAAATGTTCCGTATGTGGCCAGGTTTGCCAAATGGAATGACTTGCGTTACACGAAAAACGGCAGCGTGGCGACTCTCATTCTTCTCTCTGATCATGTGCATCATGCATGAAACGGAACGCAGCCAAAGTTCGAACAGCTGTTGACATTGGGTCTGTTCATAGACATAGTATATCTAGACCGAGTGTTGAGGATTGGGGGCCGATGCCCACGTAGAAAAGGACATACTCTGTTTCGTGACCCTTGCGTTCTCTCTCTTTCGCACATAGCATGACGAAAGAGAGCGGCATGCTACGTGCGAGCGAGAGAGAACGCAAGGGGCACGAAACAGAGTATGTCCTTTTCTACGTGGGCATCGGCCCCCACTCCTCAACACTCGGTCGAGATATACTATGTCTATGTACGGAACATTTTTCGTGACCACTTTCAATCTAGGTAGATAACTCTCCTTACTCTTCCTTCATGGTTGAATGGGATCTTAAGACGAACCAAGACCACACTTAAAGCCCGTATCAGACTACGCATTGAACATTGAAGATTGAAGATTAAAGATTGGAATTTGACTAATCAGAACAAAAGAGACTAAAATTTCTTTATTCTGGTTGGTCAAATTTCAATCTTGAGTCTTCAATCTGAATCTTCAATGCGTAGTCTGATACAGGCTTAAGACAATCTTAAATAAAAGAACGGATTATGAATACCGGCCTTAATCTTTCTTTATATAACTTTAGTTCTGTGCCCCTTGCGTTCTCTCGCGCTCACATATAGCATAGCGATACATACCCTTCTCCCCACTCCTTAAGCCCGAATCACACTAGCGGCTTGCGGCTGCGATTGCGATTGCCTCAGCCAATCAGAAAGCACTAATTGCAAGTATGATTGGAGCGTAACAAATCACAATCATAAACGCAATCGCAATCGCAGCCGCGAGCCGCTAGTGTGATTTGGGCTTTAAATTAAGGCAAACGCTCAGTCTAGATATACTTAGGGTTGCCAAATCCAGAAATTTAAATTACTGGACATTTCGTCTTTAGAAATAAAATCTCCGGACAAAACCGGACAAAAACAGTAATCATAAAACAAGATTAAATACAAAATTTTATTAGAAATTACTTACAATACTGTTTTTTAAACAATTTTGAAAACAGAATTTAGATGAATAAAATAAACTACTATTATTTAATATGACATTTTATTTTTGAACATAAAATTAAATATTATAAATTTTACACATACAATTAACATTTGTTAAAACATTTAACACATTTAACACGTTAAAATAAAAAACGTTTAACATTTATTAAAACAAAATATATTTTTTTGAACAAAAATAAGAAAAATGATAAAAATATTTCAGCAAGAAAATAAAATTTGTGATATAAATTACAGTGTGATATAAACATAAAATATATATTTTTGAATAAAATAGGAAAATTTTAAGTAATAAAAGTATTTTAGCAAGAAAAACAAAATTTGATGATATAAATCAATCTAAGCTCATTTAATTAAAGTTGTATTTTTCCGTACTTTTTACTGCTTTTAATAGATTAGGTTTAGATCTAGCATAATTGATCTTTTAGATCTATCATTTAAATTTTATTTTATTATTTATATGTACTTAAAAACCAGACATATGACGTCCGGTTTGACTTGTCAATCGGAGTCTTGAAAACCTGACAGTCCGGGTTAAAACTGGACGGTTGGCAACCTTAGATATACTATGTCTATGATCGGAACGCAGTCGTGTCCAATTGTTATACACCCAAGAGTGACGTGTAAACGTAGACTGCGTTTCGTAATTCACTGATAGCATATCGTCATCTTTGTTATTCACCAAAAGTTAAAAAAAGGCTGTGTTCCGATATTCACTGCCCAGGGTATCGATCATGTAACTTTTTCCCTAGGGAGGAAACGTGAAAAGTGAAAAATATTAGCATTGAAATCAATAGCAAAATTTTTCACTTTTCATTTTTCCGCCCTAAGAGAAAAATTACATGATCGATACCCTGTACTGAAAATATATAGTGCACATAACGCAAACTATAGATTTCCAGTACTGGGTATGTAACTTTCTCCCTAGGGCAAAAAAGTAAAAAGTAAAAAATTTTGCCATTGATTTTAATGCTAATATTTCTCACTTTTCACGTTTTCGCCCTAGGGAAAAAGTTACATGATTGGTACCCTCTGGCAGTGAATATTGGAACGCAGCAAAGAATGAGAGTGCCATTACATGGAGCGCGGAAACGCGGAAACGTGAAAACACGGAAGAGAATTGTAACTAAAAAAGTAACTATTCCGCGAATTGAGTCGTTTCTTTCCGCACATTTGAGCGGAATCCGCGGAATCCGTTACCGTCTCAACAAAACTCGACAAAAGTGTATAGAAAATATAAAACGTTTATAAATGGATGGTCCTGTAAGTATTTGAATGCTTTTTAGTACTTAATAAACATAGTAGCTTGTTATTTTTGGAGACATTCTGAGATAGTTGAAATATTTTTCAGGATCTCCCAATTGCATCTCCACAAGTAGATTGTCGCTGTCACCTTGAAGACGTCTTCTCGTCTCAGTAAAAATAGGCCGTACCCATATTTTACGGTTCTTTCTGCCTTGCAGTTTCTTCCCAGTGAGTATTATTGAGAGGATGAGCTCTTTAAGAGGACTTTTTAAAGACTTAATTAAATTTTTTTAATTTGGATCCATTATTATACTGTTACTTTTAAAATAATAAAATAATTGGAATATATATATATAAACGTTCTCCTTCACTCGTCTCCAAAATTTGATGGGATATACTGTATCCACTTAATATTTGACGCGCTCGTTCCGCGAATGTTTTTTCCTTATATTACATGAACTACAATTTGCGCGGAAAAGCGGAACGATATGGTAACAAATAAATATTTTTATTTATTTTTTAACATTGTTTTCACTTAATTAATTGTAATTTTCATTAATATGCTTATCTTTTTAGCTTATCTATTGAATATAAGCATTTTAATCAATAAATATCGTTAAAAATTAATATTTTATAATTTTTCGTTCCGCTTTTCCGCTCAAAATCTGCTCCATGTAATACAAGGCAATCAAAACAGACGGAGCGGAAATCTGGTTACTATTCTCTACCGCGTTTCCACGTTTCCGCGCTCCATGTAATGGCACCCTAAAGGTGCGAATCCATGCAGCGGAATAGCGTAACGCGGAACGAGAGCGGAACCAATCACGAGCGTTCCGTAGTTTTTATTACGCTCGCGACTGGTTCCCTTTTCGTTCCGCGTTACGCTAATCCGCTGCATGAGTTCGCACCCTAAAGCCTATCGCACAATGCTAGGCGCTAGCGATAGCGATAGGCGATATCCAATGAGAGCAGTGCTATTTTGAAAAAGCAGTGCTCTCATTGGATATCGCCTATCGCTATCGCTATCGCCTAGCATTGTGCGATAGACTTGACGATATGTTAGCAGTACTGCCAGTGAATTTCAAATATATTCGTTGTCAGGGGGTTAATTGTGTATCTTAAAACGATGTGAAAATTACAAAAGTGAGTAAATTCACTAGAGTATCTACGATTTCATTTGTCTAAATTTAGTAAATTTGTTCACTTTTGTAATTTTCACTTTGATTCAAAGATACACGATCGATTCTCTAGAGTAGAATCCTAGGATCTAGGAGTCGATTGTGTATCTTTGAAACGAAATGAAAATTACAAAAGTGAACAGATTTACTAGATTTCGACAAATGAAATCGTAGATACTCTAGTAAATTTACTCACTTTTGTAATTTTCACATCGTTTTAAGATACACAATCAACCTCCTAGTCTGGACCACGTTCTTTTTAAAACCAATTGACCACGAAATTTGTAACGGCAACATTTTCTTATTTCAATATATGGCATGCAGAGGTTTTATATATAGAGTTTTTAATTCATTTTTATATTTTTATATATTGTCGCGCTTGTAATTATTTTTACATCTTTAGAATCTTTAAATCTATAATGTAGACAATTGCATGCGATTTAATTGTAACACTGAAGATGATTAAAACTAATTTTTATTAATATACGAATTATTAGCACAGAGATCGAGCATATATGGATCTTTAGCCCCCCCCCCCCCCCCCACACACTCACTCACACACTCACATCTTACTTATTTTACTATTTATTTTGAAAATGGGAAATTTCTCTGCAAATTTCATTCTTTTTAGTATTTAGTATAATATATTTATAATTATGATCTAATTTATATTAAAAACATAGTGATGCGCAGAACATAATGTTATTTCAATATATACTGCAAGAAAAGAATCTTATATGATCTCTTGTTTCTGGTATTATAATACAATATGAAAAATTAAAAGCCTTAATACCAAATTATACAATTTATTAACTAATACAAATATCGTTTTAAATATTACAGTGATTTTTTAATTTATATATCTATTAGTAGATAACATAAAAAAAGAATTATTCAAAATATT